CATTAGTATACAGCCTTATACACAGCTCGCTCACAATCGTGGGTCCCGAGATTATTTTATAATCCCGAGCCCCACTATTGTTGTGAGAGAGCTGTGTAACTTAGTGTACACTAGTTTTGTACACTAAGCATCTCTCTGTAGAAAATGGGCAAAATGGGCCACTGAGGGAGAGGAGATTACAAATATTTATTTTTATGTTTTTTTTTTTTCATTTTATTTATTTTTTATTTAATTAAAAATGAAAATTTACAACAAAAAAAATGATTTTTCTAACAATCAAGTTTAAGATTGAGCAACGAAATTGTCAAACCATTTATTGAATCGAACCGCTTTTTCGTCAAAAAAAAAATGATTTTTCTAATAATCAAGTTTAAGATTGAGCAACGGAATCGTCAAACCATTTATTGAATCGAACCGCTTTTTCGTAACGTTGGTTTAAATACACGTGATCAGACGTTTGATTTTGAACTGAACTAAACACAATTGCTTTGAAATGGTTTGGATTGGGTTTTAATATTTTTAAACAATCAAATCATTTACAAAAAAATTTGAAGATAAATTGATTTAAATTTTATTCAATCCAATTAAAACTAAACACATATAAATTAAAAATGAGTAACGTTTAGCGATTGAACTTATTATATGACTCATTTTTTCTCATTTAGAATGTCAATCATTTAATAACACTTAATGAACATCTAAACTAATCATAAACTGTGAAGTTGGTTTAACATTATTCATTAAAAAGACAAATACATATTAAACCCGACTAACCAATCTAATCGAGCTCATTACCCATTAGGCAACTACCCATGTCAATTAATTAATTAAATCATACCCTACCAATCAGTCATCACAATTGTGAATGCAAATCTATCGATTTGACCGAATCATTGAATGACTATTGTTGTACCATATTTATTGACCGTCTATCACAATTCTAGACAATTAAATCTAATTTTTAATTCAAACTCACCATTTTATTTTGATTCGTGCTGAAGTCCTTTAAATGTTTAGCTTAACGTCATTTTTTTTGGTTTATTTGCATCTCAATTTTCTAGTCAAGTTACTCAATTTATTATTTATTTTGTAACTAAGATGCTAAATTTTACTCTAATTGCTAAAATGATTTTGTGAATTACTCAGATAATCATTGTGAATTTAATCAATGAGTCTTTCGACACATTACTTTAGTAAAAATTGAACAAAAATGATAAATGTACACACTTTCCTCTCACATAGGGGGTGGAGCCGCAATTGTGAGAGGGATGTGAAAGTGAATGTGAACCAAGTGTGTAAGTGTAGCATTACTCAAAATTGAATACTTAAAATTAAATGAATTTATATTTACTTGTTAACATAGTAAATATAAACCTAACAAAGTTGACATAAGAACCATTTCAATGAACCTAACAAGGCCTGTTGGCCAATTTAGTATAATATTTACTTATAAGTAAAGTTCAAATATTTGTTCCTTGCAATAAAAGTGTCATAAAAAAATTGGAAATTACACGAACTACATACTTTTAAATGAATATGCAAAAATTGCACATCATCATTTTTTTATTCTACAAATATTGCAATATATAAAGTAAAAACGATTTATCAAAAACAACTTAACCCCAAAAAAAATCAATCAAGGTAGCTTATCTCTCTCCAGCAAATAAAGCCTCTTTAATTCACCCCCAATTATCGCTAAAATCTCCAAAATTCGTCTCTTTCATCTATAGTCAAGGTAGCATATCTCTCTCCAGCAAATAAAGCCTCTTTAATTCACCCCCAATAATCGCTAAAATCACCAAAAATCGTCTCTTTCATCTATAGAATCCATAACTGTTTTAACTTTTATCAAAATTTACTAAAAAATTGATTTTAATCTCCATCAAGGGCAAAATCACAATAAATTTGAACTTCGATAACATGCTAATTTTAAAAATTCTCCAACGTTCGTACGCTAATCGAATCTACAAATTATTTATGTCATCTCAAAACTTATTTCGAGAACTACATTATGGGTATATCGAATAATCCAAGCAGATATCGAAAATAGTTAAAAATAAGTTAAACATAAGTGTAGACATTAAAAAAATAAAATTATATATATACAGAAATGAT